TCACCCATGAAACAGTGGCTGACAAAACAGTCTCAGCTCAAGGTCAACTTCCTTGCTGGTTCTGGAGCTTTTGAGGTTTCACCATATACTATGTTATGTCAAAAGCTGATCCAAGTTTAAAAATGTACAGTGAATTGTCATCTTTTAGGTTAGCATGAATAAGAAGTGTTAGAGGTGCTTAGAATCATGGACTGTAGAATCATCTACTGTTCTATGGAAAATGAGCAAACTCCAATAGCTGGTGAGGATTGTTTGATAGGATCAAAAGCTCCAGGAGCTGACTCTGACAATTTGGCTTCTGCCCTTTCAAAATTGAAACTTTAATCTGTTCCGATGTGCAGCTCCGTTAGACTGTGATTTAAACAGTAATTTGAGATTGCTCCTGGTAGACTGGTTGCATTGACATGGGAGGCAACCGCTGTTCAACCTTTCCAGCTCTCTATCTCTCCTTCTCTTATCAAAGCAACAAGACAATCAGAGCACTGTAGAAAACCATGATGGAGAATGGGGCTGCAACTAACAAGTATTTTCCCTAATGATTAATCCGTCCATCATTTTCTCGTTTAATCAATGGTTTGATCCAGAAAATGGAGAAAGTGGTGAAAATGTTGATCAGTGTTTCTCAAAGCCCAAAGTGACGTCCTCAAATGTCTTGCATTGTCTACAACCCAAAGATTTTCAGTTTACTGTCATAGAGGACTAAAGAAACCAGATAGTATTCACATTTAAAGGCTGAATTTGGACATTTTTTCTTTAAAAAATCATAGATTATCAAAACAGTTGCCAGTTGATAGCTAATGGATTAATCAATTTAGGAGATTGCCCTGAGATGCATGGGACCTTCATGTTTGTGTACTACATTCAGGAAATTGGGTCTCTTCCAGGATACAAGTAATTTTTTTGGCCTTTTATTGCCTTTATTCAATAGTGACAGCTGAAGATAGACAGGAAAGGTGGACAGAGAGAGAGGGGATGACACGCAGTAAAGGGCCGCAGGTCGGATTCGATCCCTGAGCCGCTGCAGCAAGGACTCAACCTCGGTTCATGGGTCGCCAGTTCTACCCACTGAGCTAACCGGGCGCCCTCAGGATACCATCTTGTATCATCAAAGGTGCTTCCTCTGTGCGTCCCAGTCAAAATCTAAAACGTCAAAATGAAATGTGTGTCAGTCTGAAGCACAGCAAGCCCTTTAAGGAATGATAAACATTTTCCCCCTATAACCATCAGGAGATGTAATCATTCTAAAGATTTACAGTCGTAGCACTAAAGTGACTGTGGAATCCCTGACAAACTGTAAATTAGTCCTAATAATGTTGAAGTGCTTTAGCTTTTTATTGGTCTGGCTGTCAGTGACTGGAGGTCTCAGCATCCATATGTTCCTGTTTGCGGTGGCCAGTCATAACTCAGTGTGATCTAGTGAGCCTGTCTCTGGCTGGTATGAGCTGGTGAAGAGACGAACTTCATTGTCCACCTGCTGAGCTTTAACCAGCCTGGACCAAAATACACTCTTGTTACTGGGGGTGAGACTAGGCTTTGGTGGTAAGGACGCTTTCTAACATACTAGCACAATTTACACCATTATCTTTGTTTGTGGGTGTAGGATTTTATTTTCAGATCAACTTGTTTTATTAATATTTGCTTCTCTCTTTAATAATCTTTTAAACCCAGATTTGCCCTCAAATCCCCCCTTAAAGCCAAACTGAAATGTAAATCCTATATATATTTATGTCAGCTATAATGATGCTGCAGCTATTGGGCATATTCTTCCATTTTTCAGAAGAGGATAAAACTGTGTTTGATCATATTTGTGGAGACCGTGTCTAAGCCTTTTGCCTGGCTACTGCTTGGTGAACATTGTAGCCATATAGCCTTTGAATGTTGATGCAAACGTTTTTTTTAACGCTTTTCTACAGTCGCACATTGCAGTGGTTACAGTGTGTGTACTGTTAGCAATTTAAGGTAAAAATTCAACATTTGGGAGCAACCATCGTGCTGTTAAGTTTGTATACCACTTGGCGAAAGCAGTAGAGGCACGACCAGCTTGCTTGAGTCCTGCTAAATGTTCTCTGAGTCATTGGCAGCTCAGATACACTTAGTGATCGCCCCACTTACACAACTTGTAGTCATGGCAAATGGCCAGACTGTCAAAACTCACAGCAACAGGTAGTCACAAATCTCAGCACACAGGCAGTATTGAATGCTTGAATCATGTAAGGTGAGGTGAGGGTAAGCAATGGCAACCAGTGCTGGGCCCCCAGCTGGTTAATTACATGTATTTTTGTTGGAATTTAAGTGATTTACAAGCTATTTTTAGTGATAGGGCAGCAATAATACTGCAGAAAAATAGAATAGAAATTCTGTGTGTTTTAATTTATGGATTTGGTTAAAATTGTAATATGTGGGTTTATCTATATGTACATATATATGCATATAAACATCATACTTACATTATCAACATCTGCCAATTTCTTATTGATTAATAGAATAAATAGATTTTTCTAACCAACAGGCCAAAACCCAGATAAATTTAGTCTACTTAAACAAGAGCCAAAAAAAGCAGTTAAAAAGCAATTATTCAAATCATTGTTTCCGCTCTCATTTTAAATTTCATACATCATTTTATTTATTTCCTCGAATTCAGCCCGTCAGTTTGGTGTTTTTTGGAAAGTCTGTGCACCAACCAGTGGGTTTTCCCTTTACATAAAAGTGTCTCCCACGTCTGTTTTTCCTCTGGAGTTGTACAACTTCAGGAATTGAAAATACCATCAGTATTAAGTATTTGGTTTCTGTTGCGCTGTTATGGAATACTAAGGGATAAAGGCATATAAAATAGTGGCAACCAAAAATTGCGGCTGGCACAACTTGTCCGAGTGCAGCTCAGCAGTGTGGTAACTGGCCAGAACAAGCTAATGAAATAACTTCATTAGGGGCCACATGAACTGAGCAAAAGAAGCAGAACATTAGGCCCAGAGGGAGGTCCCTGGTTCTTTTTACCATAGCTCTGAGGTTTTGAACAATGTTGCACAACAGCATCTGCATGGTGTTAGACATTTTTAGGGTGTCTGCAAGTCCTGGAAAGCTCTTACTTTAACTGAAATTATCTTATTCAAGGCCTTAAATATTCTTGAACACTATATACATACTTATATACTTAGTTACTGTGTTTTCATTTAGACTACTACCAACTTGCTAGTATCTCCCACAGCTTTACGGGCCTGACCCGTACAATGCTCGAATACTTGAGCTACATTGAGATGTTGTTTTTAGCTTTTACTTTGTGCTTTAAATAACCCACTCATCCAGTCTGGATGGCGTCTGGCTGTGTTTCCACCCCTCAGATGGTAAATCTTGGTGTGAAAAGGGTCGGGTCACAGCGGAAGGGTCAGTGTCTCGCAGCTACACACAGCCTGCTGAATTTACTCATCACAAGACTTTAAATCCAGCAGTAATGTGGAAGACTTGAGGGAAATGGGCTCAGTTTGAGATCAGTTCCAGTGTGAGACTCTGCCAAGCCGAACTCCTCCACTGCACTTTGAGTTTCAAATCCGTGTGGGAATGCAATGAGGCATGGGTTACATTTAAAGGGATTGCCTGGTCCGAGGCCAGGATCATCCAGTATTCGTCAGGTCAGGCATGATGAAAAGGTCACAACACATTGAACTTACTGACTTAAAGTCAGGAGGTTAACCAACTGTTGCCAAGGTCATTCTGCTTTGACATGAGATACAATTTTATGTAAAGCTGCAGTCACACCACAACCTGACGCACCAATTTGCTCATCCATGCAAACTGGTGCGGCCGGACACTTGTAACCTGACTGCACCAGGTGTTTTGTTACACAAAACCATCTGGGATGTTGTTGTTCAAACTTTGTTCAAAAGTGTTTGGAAAAGGACAGGCACTTTCAAAAAATACTTGGCAGGTGATTGGATGAATCTGTCTATTACGGGCGAACTTTAAGCAATCAGATCAACGGACCATATGACGTCTTACTGAAGGCAGTCGGGAGAAGAGCTTATAGCAGAGAAAATCCTTCTTAAGTGCCATTCTTTACTCTCAGTGAAGAAATTAATTCTCCTTGGCAGCCGCCATTATTGTTTTTTTGAGCACCGCCACGTCTCATACACGTTGTCAACTAGTGTTAAGTCACATCTTTAGCTCATGCCGTTGCTGGCAGTAGTTCCTCAGAGGAACCACCAACACAATAGCTGGTATGGCCGGCAGTCACAAAGCTCCTGAAATGTACCTTTTTTTCTCTGTACTGTTTTGTGTACTTTTAGCTGTGATTTTGGTCACCATTGCACGCAATTTCTTTCCTTAAAAAGTTATTCAACAGGGGTTCCCGGTTAGCTCAGTGGGTAGAGCTGGCGACCCATGTACCGAGGCTGAGCTCTTGCTGCAGCGGCCCAGGGTTCGAGTCCGACCCTCGGCCCTTTGCTGTGTGTCATCCCCTCTCTCTGCCCCCCTTTCCTGTCTACCATCAGCTGTCTCTATCAATTAAAGGCAATAAAAAGCCACAAAAAATACTTAAAAAAAAAAAAAGTTATTCAACAGAGTAAAAAATACCATACCTACCTTTTATGATACATTTGTATACAGATTTCACTCCAGGAGAGGGCGATAAATAAAGGTGAATGGTGCAACACAGCTAATAAGCTATGATAGCTTTTGACTCTCTGGCTCTTTGTCACCTTAAAGGTCATTACTGTGAAGATAAGATAAGACTTTATTTACCCTACACTGGGAAAATTCAAGTTGAATGACTGTGATGATTGCACTGAAATGGATTTCAGGCGAAATTTGAGGTTTTAAATGCTGGTGATCAGGTCTCGAGGAGATTGTTTCAGTTCATCCAAATCAAAAAAATACAACGCAGATATGTTAAAACCTGAATAACAGAATAACAGAAAATATCTGGCTTCTTAGGCAGCAGCCAGTCCTAGACTCCACTCATCAACTGGGCTAACTTGAAACCACTGTTGTGTGTTGGTAAATTTCAGATGGCTGGATGTGAGCGTAGCCAACCTGACTTGCACCAGGTACTGGGTGGTGTACCTGCAGGTCATCCAGGAGGCTGTGTGGCCTGGAGGCACCCTGCCGACGGCTCCTCAACTTGAACGTAGCCAGCAGCAGAAGGACAGCACCAGACAGCAAGCCTTACACTGTCTGATGAGACTCCTACCAGGTACATGTACACACAGACTAACCGTAACAATGTTGAGCACAAAATGTGTAAATTAGAGCCCGACCAATACATTGCATTGCCAGTACTATTGGACTTTTTTGACATTTTAGACTATCACAGATGTATCGATAAATACAACAATTTGTCGTTTTGTACAGAAATTACATAGTTGACATTTTTCAAAAATAAATTTAGTTTACTATGTAGTATGTCTCTTGGTCATAACTTTTTAATATCCAAATGCTCTCTAATATTGGTGTCATGCTCAAATTATATAAGTTAGTCAAGGTAAAATGAGTGCCTCGACTTGGGACATCAAACAGCTAATTGCACACTGTGTGAATGTGTATGAATGAGTTAGTTTCTGTTCGATGAGCTTTGCCATCGCTTTCGGAATGTGTGTGAAAGGGTGAATGTGGCACGTAGGGTAAAAAGCGCTTTGAGTGGTCGGAAGACTAGAAAGGTGCTATACAAGTACAGGTCCATTTATCATTTACACTGTCCATGTCTTTGTGTCTCTAGATCTGGTCTCAGACATGTTGGGCTCAGACAAGTATAAACTCAGCTGGCAGACTGCGCTGGACTCCCTTCAAGACCCCTACATTAACAGGTGACTATACGCTAAACACTCAACAGCCACAGTCTGCCGCAGTCCTTCCTTCCATCACTGATGAATGTTATCTGCTTAGAAGTCAAAAAAAATCTTCAGATCTGTCGAATCCAATCTGAAGTAATCAGTGATGTCTGTACATTCATAGTTACAGTGTAAAAAGGAACTAATAGCTATTCAGCATCACATTCCATAATGTGGATCCTCCAAAACAAACAAATATACCTTGAAGCATGATAGGATATGTAGTTCCTGAATGGAAGCAAAAAAGACAAAACAATATAAGCTTTTTATATCAATACCATCCCATGCTCGGGATGACAGTGTCAGAATGAAATAGCCCAACAACCATTGGATGGATTGCCATGACATTTTGGGCAGACATTCATGGTGCCCAGCGGATGACTCCTGCTGCATCCGAGTCCTGATGTTGACTGTTTAATCCTGAACGGAACCCGTTCAAGACCCAGAGCTGGTTTGGTGGAAAAGAGGTCCTCCTGGTCCACACTTTGCTTCCTAATAGTTTCTGTTTGGAGCCATGATTGCAGTGTTTTGGAACCATTCATTTTACCTCTGCTTACTTTCTTACCATCACATTTTAGCTCGTAACTGATCATGAAACAAAATATTACAGGAAATGAAAAACATATTTGAAATTACTTTTTAGCGATCTGATAGTTTAGGTAGACTATTTTCATTTGAAGGTTTGTAGTATTTTGATAGTATTTTATGTTCAGAAATTGATTTGCTTCATTTTCAGAAAGTATTTCAGAGATTCCTCCGCGTTTCACTAGAGGGAGCTTGCATACCACCAGTGATACACATACCAGTTTGAGAACCTGTGAAGTAACCAGTCCACTTTAAAATTCATTCAAACATGCATTTCTTATGCTATTGAATGAGTGTGCACTTTCTCCTCTTGCCTCTTTCCTCCACTGTGTTGTTGCCTACAGAGCTGCCTTTGACTGCATGTGTTTTTACTTATCTCTCTATTCACAGCAAACACTATACATTGTAGTGCACAATAATCGGAGGCAATGTGTTTCTGTTGGAAATGGCACCTCCAATACAATACTGACCCCGCACTGTTCTCTTAGCTCACAGGTCATGTCTGCTCTGATGTTAACAAAACAAACAGGATTAGCAAAATTCTGCTGATTACGTCAAACTGATGATGGCTTATAGCTGAAACACGTTAGTTTTTTGCCCATAATAAACAAGAGGATATTTATTTGTGAGTGCCAGCATCCTGTTTGTTTTGTTCCTTATTACGAACGTGCACCTGAAACAGTAAGTTTACGTGCCTTGCGTGCCTTTACTCTTCACCACCCTGATCTCAAAACGGTACCCGATGATCTTCTTGAGTCTGCATGCACGCTTTGTGTACTCGGATGCAGCCACATGGTTTGCTGTTTGGAAATTCTGACTTTTTGTTAACAAGCTCCTTGCGCACATACACGGAGAGAAGCTCACCTGGAATCATATGGACCAATCACTACACAACAGGCAGTTGATTAAACAACAGCTGGACATGTCTAAAAGGGGTTACAGATGTTGATACAAACCGCGGTTGGAATCATTCAGATCCACCTCCCAGACAGGCATCAAGATGCAATGAATAAATAAAAAAAAAAGTAAAATTATTATTTCGTTTTGTTAAAAGACTTCATTTACATATTGGATTTGATAAAGGTCTTCTTGCATGGTTACTGAATTTGGCAAGGCAGACTGAACTCTTACTGGTTTCAAACTTGTTCCATTTGATAATGATGGAGCTCAGTGTACTCCTGGGAAATGGCAGTGGTCAGCTATTCAGTCTTAATTCTCTGTGAGAGCCTCCTGAACCTTCTGACTTTATTTTTGTTCTGACATTGACTGTGAATTCTGGCACCTTAAATAGACAATTATGTGGGGTTAGTTGTAGGGTCATCTCAAGGATGATGAGACAAAGTATTATCCATTCAGCCTTCATTTAGGTCCATTTCTTATGCTGAGTATGTTTGTTACCATCTGAATCAGTTCGGACTCTGAGTTTGTCCCCCTTACCCAAACAACCCAGCTCTGCTTCCTGCTTCCAGTCTGATATATCACTGAAATCTGTGCTATCAGTTCATGGACCAAACTGATACTCTACCGCCTGTGTCCTCACTTGGTTTTTACTGTGTGCACAGCATCAACGTCGACTGTGTAGCAGTCTCTAAAAAAGTAGTGCCACTGGCTCCATATGCAGAATTTATCCACTCTAGATTTACAGTGCAGTGTGATTCACTGCATCACTTCTAGGCAAAGGAGCATACAATAATGGGCACCCTGGTAGCTCACCTGGTGGCACCATGACTGAGTTCTTGCTGCATGGACTCCGACCTGTGGCTCTTTAGCTGTCACTATCAATAAAAAAGGCCAAAATAGTATAATAAAAAAAGGAACATTCAATACAACTAAATGTACCCACTAACCTAAACAATATGTAAAACTACATGACTAATAGAAAAACTTTAAATTAGGTTTTTCATTGGTTACAGAGCTCCAAGTCTAACCAAGAGGACTCACATCAGCTATCTCTTCATCTAGTTTCATTCCCATAAAGTCACTAAAGAAAAGCTGCTGACTGCTGGTCCTGTGTTCCCTTAGACACCTGGTCTACTGCATATTCGATCTTCTGCTGGAGTTCCTGGTTCCTGAAATACCTGAGGAGAACTTCCAGAGGAGCCTGTTGCAGACCCTCTCCAAGAACCCAGAGAAGCTGCTGGCATGAGAGGAAACCCCAATGGAACACCTGCAAACCCAGCTGTATTTTCCCATCATGCTATCTGATCATTTACCATTGATGATTTTCTGAAAGGCAGCATGACGGCAAGGCTGCTCCTGTTCTACTAATGTTCTGCGAGTGTAAGTGAATGTTTCTGGTGAGACTGAATATTCTCTGTCCCCACTTTAAACTCCTGAAGCCCCTCAGGTCTGTCTTTAGTTTCGTGTTGATGTGTTGACACATGAGGCTCTTGAACATGGTGTGCTGTGTACACACACACTTTAACACAACCTACATTTGAAGCAGCTTTGATTACATGAGAGCACATGGTTTGTGTTTAATCTCGAAACGTGTCTGACGTGTTGTTCAGATCGAAACATGTGGCAAAGCCTCCTCCGATCTCCACGTCCAGCCTCTTCCTGCTCACTTAACTCTCCGGCTTTGACTAAACTCACATCAGATGGTCTTCACACTCTACCCTCATCGCCGCTTGTGTAGAAAAACCCACACCTGTTGCCCTAATCTGGAGGAGCAGGATTTGCTTTTTTCCCCCTCAACTTAAATCTCAAAATGCTCTATTGGGATTTAGCATCAGTGTTTTTATCCTCCACTGACCCATTCCTCAACATCCCACTGGCTCTGTATAAAGCCCCACATGTGATTCTGACATAATGTGAGCTATACTTCCTAAATCTGAGCCTTCCTGAGGGATCACATGTCTCTGGTAGTGATTCTTTTTAACCTGCATGTGTCCAGGTGTAGGAAAAGCGTACTGCAGTGTAGTGTGGTGAAGAGTTGGCCACAAGATATTTTACTGGCTTCACAGATGCGTCACAGTTATTTTAACAGGTCCCTTGGAGAATGATCTGTGCAGTTAATGTCTAAATCTTATAAGAACTGGGCTCCACAAAAGCAGGTATATGAAGGGTAGGAATGGTGTTGGCCCAGGCCCATTCAATAACTCGAGTAAAACTGTAAACTGCTGGAGTCTCTACATACTTAATCTGCTTACTTATCACTTTTCTTCGTGAGTTGGATAATTAAGCAGCAGATTTAAAGGGTTGGTACATTATCTATAAGCACAATTTCTCATGTACTTTTAGTGGTATCTCTCCATGCTTTTCAGTTCAACCACCTTTGGTGAAGAAATAGTCCCTATGACAACTGTGTGTTCTGTGGATCTTACTAACACTTTCCACAGCAGACATTTTGACTTGTCATAGTAAAAAAAAAAGCACAGGAGTTACAAATAACTAGAGCCTGACTGATATATATTGGATATTAGTCTATCATGGATATATCGGTGTTGTATCCGTATGGGCGTATATGTTAGCTTTAATGCTAACTTTAACCTTAACTCGATGCAGACTCTGTTGGCTAAAACTGATGAGTGCATCCACTAACATCAGTCTGATTGTCACAAATTGAGTAATTCACCTTTCTTTTTTACTTGTAATTGAAAAAGTGTTGTTCTAATTAATGAATTAGCCTAAAAACTTCTCATCAAGTCTGTGATACAGTGTTAAGCCAGTATATATTCAATCCCAGACCTCCACTGTTCACTCATTCTCTTGTCACTTTAGAAACCATCTGAAGAGAGTTTGAGTGGTGTCCCCACACAGTGTACATTCACTTTAAATATATTGTTGCACTTTGTAAATTTGCCTTAGCATCTTCAGCCTTCACGGTGGTAACACAACAATTCATTCCCAGCTGGATATGACAAACAGAAAAGGTATTGTAGTTTACTGAAAATATCCCAGTGTGTATCCAAAGTGTGTTACAGCACAGCTCATTATTGCTATGTCCACTGCAGCCATGTCTAACCCCAATGTCTTAACACAGACTGTCTTAAAATATTGTTTAGTTCATCAGAATGATGATGTACTCTAGAGTAAATCAATCTTTTCCAGAAACTTTCTACTATCCAAAATGTCCTGACTTAAATTTGGAGAGGTTATGTGAACTGTAATGCTGCATATTTTGTATGTAGTTAGCTCCAATTGGGTTATATTAAGAGTAAAATAAGCAGCATTTTTTCATTTAAAATGCATCAGATATCAAATACATATCCTGGGACTGAATCTGTAGATGCCAAGTTTGAGAATTGTTACATTCCATCTTGTAAGTTGAAAAAATGAAGTCTTAATCTTAATGTTCCATCATTCCAGTGTTTTGCACTCTTATAATGGTTTGGTGGTCTCATCCTTTCCTTTTCATCGTGTTAACTTGTGATTCAGCCTATTTATTAACCTATTTATTTGCTTGATTTACTAGATTATGACTTTTTCTGAATTCCGTCCATTAAAGAATGAGCGAGGTGCCAGTGCTGACAGAGAGGAGCGTCCTCTTTAATGAAGTGCTTTTAAGTGGATTTTGCCTTACTTGATGAAGTTTGGTCTGCCTGTCCTGCAGCAGTGCGGCTGCAGTGTAGCCACCAACCATGTCTTAGTAGAACATAAGCACCCAATTCCAGTTCTCTGTAGTGAAACTGTTAACACATGTTATGTTTATTGTGGCAAATTGAGCTGAATGTTCAGGCTTTTCAGTTATTTGTTGTGAAGAGATTGTGAAATTTCCTTATCTGATGCTGCATATTGCTGCCACCATGATATTAAATATTTACTCCGTATTTCATTATAACAAGAACATTTTCTTGGTTTACCAAGATCTTTTTCATGTTATACTGATCATTACTTTATCATGTTGTCACAAAAGGTACTCATTATTACACAAAACCAGTGTATTGTTAAAAGAATAAATGTTTCTTGTTATAACATACGTTGGTAAATTGTAACGAAAAACAGATCCAGTCAGTGCCTGAAAAAAAAAAAATACAATATATATGTGGTGCTCAGCATCAGATACTTTATAAAAGATGCACTTTTTATAAATATAACTTTTTGTCATATTTGCTGAAACTTACACTATATCCTGACAGTAGCACATGAGACAGATAATCTGTAAAAAAAAATCAGGTTCCTCTGCCTCCTCCTAGTGCTCCTAATGGTATTTTCAAGAATCCACCAAGCCTGAACGAAAACAACCAATCAGAGCCAAGAAAGATAGTTGATTGTTGAGTCTCATTCCAAGGGCGTCAAATACAGACGCTCTGGGACCTGGAAATGAGACTCAACAATCAACGCTTCCGACCCAAAGTGTCTTTATATCGCTCTTGGCTCTGATTGGTTGTTTCCGTCCAGGCCCGGGGGATTCTTGGAAATGCTATTAGGAGTACTAGAACGAGAACTGATAATGGTACTGGTTTCAATAAAATCTTCAGTTTCCATCCCTACTGAAAAAAATGAAGAATGTCTCTTTGTTTGTTTATGTAGGCCATGTAGAGGCATGAGTAATAAATGGAGACTGTTTCATAAACAGTTAAAAATTCCCATTTAAATTACCATCCTTATCTAGACTAGGAGTGGAACACAATTTGAATGAAAACAGTTCAGTTATGTTGTGTGACTGATGAACACTGCATTACATCTCTTTAGGCACTGACTTACTTTAAAATAACAATAGACCAACTTATCATGTTACAATGAGAAACATTTCTCATTTTAATGAGTCACATTGATTTTGTGTATTAATGAAAGGCTTTGATTTGACGAGGTGAATGAGCTGATGTTATGGCCAGAAAATGTTTTTTGTAAATAAATTTGGTATGTAGTATTGTCATAATAATATGAAAAATATCTTATTATATCATTAAAAGGATCTCATTAAAGCAAGGTATTTCTCTCATAATATAAAACAATTAATAAAAAACATTTTTGTAATGATGGCAGCAATATGCTTCCATACTGATCTGCTTTAAATGGTGGTAGATGTTATGTGTTATAATATTATGGAAAAAATGCACTGTGATGTTTGTCTTTGGAGATTAATGTTAATTAGAAGAGTTTTTACAGTTAGTGACAACATAGACACTAAAGCTCGATCTGTTTTAGAGAAATATATGACATTGTACAGCTCCTCTGTTGGCTATAATCCTGTTCTCTATCACCTTTGCACTCTTCTTCACCTTCTTGTCTTCTTTTCTATCCGACGGTGTGTCTGGTGTTTCTCTGCACTGTCACTGGAGAACACGTGCAGTTGTGCTTTGCATGTTGACGCTGTGAATCTGTCTCCGTTTGCTAGCACAGTCTTTAAAACATTTTCCTGATGTTCCTGAGCATATTTGCAAAAACAATAAAGTTACCAAACATGAGTTATTAAATCTCCAACTGTTGTTCACACTCATTATTTGCTTGGCCTGAGGCGGGCGATACATTTTACAAGAGGCTGGTGAGCTGCTCGGTCTGTCTTTTATGAGATTTTACTTTAAATTTATCCCAGCCATGTTTTAACTGTCTGGAGGTTCACCAGAAATGTGCTCGGCCTCTTCGGGGTCATTTATGCATTCCATATTATGATTTTCTTTACCCCTTTGTATGGACGTTTTACACTGTGGCTGTGCTCTATCAGCTCCCCACTAATTTGCTATAGCCTGCAGACTCGTGGTTCGCGTCCAACAGCAACAAAAATAGTGTGGATGAAACACCCATAATAAAGATCAGAACCATTTCTTGGAACGGTTTCTGTTAAGCTCCACTTCTCTAACAACAAAGGGGGAGTCAGGGGGTGTAGGAGGCTGGCTTTGCATTGCCGAGAAATCCTCTTAAACCGGATTTACAGATAGAACTGTAAGCAACACTTTGGATTAATCAAGCACTGAGGGATACGGATGTATAAATGTGATTCAACTTTTACGTAGATCACGCTTCGATAGTGTTTTTGTTGTTTAAGAAAATGTACTTTGAATAAATTGGATTTCTTTCAGTTAAATATGACCTCAGTTACAGTCACATTCATGACAAATTCAAAGCCTCACTTTCTGGGGCCTCAGTCCTTGGCTAAGCTTCCCTCAGTTCAACATCCCGGTTTTCTTTTTTCTAGACTTGATTCATTTAGGCTTTGCTTTAAAGAGTTGATGTTCAATGTGATTCATGTTAACACTTATTTTGCCACTGACCACATTTAGACCATATTTTAACAGAATTTGCAATGGTGAAGTTTTTGTGAGTGACACATTTTATGGATATTTCATATTATATTGAATGCAGAACAATAACAGTAGAGAACAGCTGATAAACTGTACAATAAACCCAAACAGTGAACGCAATAACTGCAGGAAGTTTGTGTAAAACAAGTGGTTTGGATGAATTTTGATCAGATTTTTCACAATCATTCAGACTTAATCGTCTTCTTTTTCGACAAATTCAGTGTTTTCTCCTCATTGTTCTTTCAGCTCTTTGGTTGTTTTAAATGTGTACTTTTCCAATGCAGAACGAGGCTGTTTATCAGAGAATCAGTGCTCTGTGAATATAGCTTATGTTCAGATCTTCAAACTTTAGATGGTAAATAACGATCTGAACTTTAAAAATAACAATGTAATTTGGTATTCTTCACAGAAAAGAAAAAAATGCTGAGATATAGGCCTACTAAGGTTTCTTACACCGTTTAAAATCAAGAAGGCCTTGTGACCCCCTGTGAAACTTGAGCAACACCTAGTGGAGGTCCCCAGTGCTGTACAATGTGCAAATACAAGTCTGTTGTCACGCCTAAAAATACATTCAAATCACAGTTCTAAGTTGAAAGATAAAAAACACTTCTCCACTGGAAGGGCACCTTAAAGGGCACTGTATCATGTTTTCTCCACTGGAAGGGCAATTTATCGTGGTATATCTACCATAGAGGCATCCAAGAATATTTCCAATATCAGGGAAAACATTATACCCGCTTAGCATCAGCATGCTAGCATTGCCACTGCAAACAATTCAAACGTTGGCCCTTAATATTAAAACTGTTGATGATTAACTTTCTGGACTCCCCACGTCCCCCCAGTTTTCAAACCCACCAAGACCTGCTATCATAAAGACTGTACTGTCCCATGTGATCTGTTACAGTGATTATTGAATATGAGCTAGCGTTAGCCAGTCCTCGTGGCTTAGAGAACAAAATGCCAAAAAGAACAATGCCAGTAAAAGCCTCTGTGAGGGGGAGGAGCCACAGTTCCTGGAAGGCTATTCAGAGAGCTGTGCCGTACTGATCCGGGGTCTGCGACTGGGGGCTGCCCCACAGAGCAATTGTGATGTCAATTAAGGAGATGCAAGTATTTTGAAACACGTATTATCTTCAAATATAGCAAGTGTTCTCCATTATAGTTTTATCACTGAACTGAAATGTTACAGGCCAGCATTCAGAGGCAGGGGACCTCTGGGATTCATAACTGTGTTTAAATGAACTACTGTAATTCTCCAAAACAATATTGGACAATTAAATGAATAGATGCCATGTCCAGTGAAAATAAAATGTCATTATAATGATTCCCAGACTGTTTTAATGTAATTGTGGTTCAGGAGGCGCCTCATGTCATCATGGATGACACAGAGTGAGTGACATCAGGAATGACTGAAGGCAGTCAGAGGGACAGAGCATGAGAAAGAAGGCAGATTTGCATCATTTCTGGATCACTGGAGGAGTTGCTCTGCATTGACTTTGCATGGTCGGCACTGACAGTGGCTGAGTGCTCTTTGTGTCTCAGGACAGTGTTTGGGTGGGAGCCAGGGCTACCGCAATCCCATACACATGACCAGACCGACTCACAGTGTCACTGTAGCAACTGCACCCAGAAGGGAGGAGGACCCACTGCTGCTGACATAGACTAGAGAATGTCACAGGTTGCTATGGTGACAACCCATCACAGTTTAGCTTCTTTATTACTAATACCTCCCTGTAAGAGATCATATATTCTTATTTTTTTTAATTAAACACATTAACATACAAGAACTCGTGGATAATACATATAATACAATGTATTATCACAATAGATGAGGAAAAAGAAATGAGGGGAATCATATTCAAATATATAAGAATAGACACTCATTACATAGTCACCAGGCATTGATAAGCAAAACAAACAAGTAGGAGCAAGAACTTTTAACAAAAAAACAATAAGGGGCATGAATCAAAACAACTAACAACTTTCTTGATAATTTTAAATATTTTTAAGTGATAAACCAAACAGAGGGCTTACTATTTCTCCATTTGCTACACTGAATATATTTACCCATATGAATGATGTTATTAATAATGTCAGAAATAGATACATTTAAGTTATCCCTTTAAAAAAATAAATCCAAAAGTTGGAATGACATTTACTGTAAAGTTCATTTAACATGTGATATTATCGAAAGCTCCACAACAGCTACTAAATGGGACGGAGATGATTTTCTAAGATCAAGAATCAACATTGAAACTCAAAGTGCTCCCAGAACCTGTACACTTTATCATCTACATAACCATGACCACTGGACTCTTCCATCTGCTGATGAAGACGGCGATGTGTTCGAAAGCTCCACAGGACCTACTAAATGGACTTTGAGGTAAGATCTCAACAGATTCATCTCGAACAGACTCTTTGTGTTACAATCTGTGTACTCAGCTCAACAAGAAACAGTCAAACACTCAAATAACCACTGTTAATAACGACACTGTCATTTGGAGGCTCCCATCTTGTTCCATGCTGCAGAGCTAACCAGCCGTGTCAGTAGTGTGTCGCTGCTGCAGTCCGCACGCCCTGCTGACCGGCAGGATTTATGGGCAGTAAGTGAATTAAAAGTTTTCTTTCACATCACTCTGCAGCAGGGGCTGATTTACATGGAAACCACGTTCTACATCCTCAACCCGTTACGCAATCTCCTCTCATCACCCTCCCTCCCTCCACACGCGCATTCTCCAGCGCTGTTTGACATGCTTTGGTCTCCACTCCACCTCCGTTTCCCTGTCGAACTCTTGTTTTCTTTTCTTCCTTACATAATAACATGCAGACACACACACAGGCCTGCAGCTCTGAGGACACGAGGACATACATGTTTGAGCTGACTGCCCTTTAAAGGACAAAAACTGGAGACAGCCCGAAAAGCTTTGTTGTCCTCCAACAGGCCTTATTACCTGCTTTGCAAAATTACAGTCATCTTCACTGCCAGTAGGAGACATTTGGAGTTGTTCCATTGACAGCCTCATTATGGTTTTAACATCTTGAAACAAACATTACAAAATGTATCTTGGGACGTTGTGGTCGGGCCAAAAAACAGCTCAACAGAGTATTTTCAGAATCTGAAAGAGAATCCAAGAAAATGAAAATAGTTTATGCAAATTCTTCAAACTGGCTGCTCTCTCTCTCTCTCACACACAGATTACAAGTAATAATAAAATGAGGACAAAAACAGAACTTCTTGTGCTTTTTGCAGTGAAGTTATGAGCTTTTTACTACTTTTATCTACTGTGATTATTATTAATTAGAATTAGAATTAGAAGCATTCTCTTTTCAGTGCATCTCCAAATCTGATGTTATGCTGGCAGTTTCCGCTTGTTTGCTCCTAAAATGTGTCTCCAAATATCACGTGTTCTGAAGTTGCTGGAGATACCATATGCAGCTGATAACAGTCATCTTATCCACTTTAACAACATGCAGATATAACTACTTTTTATGGGCAAGTAGATGAAGGAATCTGCTGTCAAAGGCTCAGTAATACCTCATCAGTGTCACTACTGCACTACAGTGCCCTCTAGTGGCTCATAGGCAATTGTACAACACCTTGCAACACAGAGGCAAGATAAGATAAGATATACCTTAATTAATCCCCCGTAGGAGAAATTCAAGAGTGCTTTACATTAGAATTCAGTCTAAAGCAAAATACATTTTTAATGATTATTATTATCAGACATATAAAGTCCAGAATACTGCTTTCAATCTCTAACTGAACATCTCTCAAACAAGATATCACACTGACCGCTATTGATTCAGTTTACTTCAGTGCATGTGTTCATCCTTCACCCCTAGATGGCGACATAACCAAACTGATGATTTAGCACCCATTTTTAAAGAGACCACAGGGAGGCGCTGTGTGTTAACCTAACAGGGATCCACCTGTTACTGCTCTGAGAAGTAGGCTGTGGAAGGAAGGATGAGGCAGAGCGTGAGCTCAGGGTGCTGTCTGGGAACAGTGTAGGAACAGTGACGACTGCCTGTGAGGGATAAACCTGGAGTTCATGGTGGGGGGGTGGGGGATACTGTGAACATTTATGATGGTGGATGCATCAATGCATCAATTTAAATGTGATGAGTCACACAATAAAGCTGGTGCGCTAATAAATAAGGTAAATAAATGATGAATCAGAT